GTGGCAACCCTAGACCCTAGAGAAAACCCTAGGCCCTGATGAAGTCGTGCTGGAGACGGGATGTGCTACGGTTGGGGGACACAAGCGCGTCTGATGCTTCTTCTTTTTAACTCTTTGATTGCCCCTCTGTTTTGCTGCTAGCCCCCCAACCATCGTTGTACCATGGTGCGTCTGCGGCTGCCATTATATAAGCTGCAACTGCAGTTGCTGTTAAGGAACAACCCCCGAGAGCGTATGACCCCGCCCCCCTCTAACATGCATGAGTTAACGTTGTATCCAACTGTTAAGCACTTCTTTTTCTCTCGGCAGCCAGCCTACACTAAGGTATAAAGGCATCTAATACCAATTTCAGGCATATCAGTCTGCATCTAAGCAGCATCAGCCCCAGGCAGTTGCACCGCTCAACCCAGGATGTCTGGAGGCTAGGGGAAGTTAAAGCTGCATTTTGTGGATCACATTATCTTAATTATTTTGACTCGGTTCCAGCCCATGGTGGTCATCGTCTTGGACCGAGGACTAGCGCGTTGCAGGACTGTGGTTTCGGTGAAGATGTCTGCCAGTTAATAGTGCTCATGGAGAGCAACGGAAGGAAAACTATGAAACATATTATACAGAAACCGAAAAACATTTGATAGAAGTATTTATTCGAGAGTTGCAGAGGCTACAGCAGCAGCTTCAACTTGCCTAGAGCTGCTGAACACCGGCCAGCCTTCCCGCCTTGCATGCGGCGAAACGAAACGGAAGCCCATGTTTAAATGAGCGAAATGTGAGTTTTCTTTTTCAGCAGAATATGGAAATAGAAAAGAAGAAATGCGGACTCTGAAACATCCATTTATGGCTCCCTTTAAGCAACGAAATAATTGTATCGAAGCCTGCCGCAACGCCCCGAACTTGCATGCAAGTTTATGTACACTTGCGCTGGAGCCTCTGTCCTCATTGGATCCCTTAATATCTTTCGTTTGAAAGATTAGGCGGAATCATAATGGGTTCTGACTCTTTTGTGAAGACGAGAAGGCGATAGCTCGAAGTGGACAGAGCCATCACCGCAAGAGGGAACAGACAGGGAACATGCCGCCCTGGCCACTGGCTACCTAGTTTGTGGATTTCTGAGTTCATTGTTCTTTAGCCTTCATCTCAAGTGTAATTGGGGGCCTCCCCGAGCTGCTGCAGTTCGACAGCGGGGTCTTGGGGTCCCCAGTTCTCTGCTGCAACCCGCTATTGCCGGTTCTCTCGTCCTGCACACAACATGCAATAGGAGGAGGCGGCCTCTGCGTTGTTGCTCCCTCTTGAATAGGGCAGGGTTTGTTTGGTTATTTACCTCCTTCTACATGTGGGTCCCGGCGTACTGAATCTGTACAGACAGCCGAGAGTATTGTTGGTTGTACTGTTTTCATCTTTCGCCTGCCCTCTCTACTTTCTTCCAGCAACAAAATGCCGTCTTCTGATATCAGCCGTTCCTCCGCCCGGCGCAGCGAGTCTACAGCGCATCACCGCCACAGCAGCAGAAGCCCAGACAACAAAAACGTAAGAGAGGCCAGCAACAGCGAAGCCGCGCGTAAAGACAACAGAGACAGAGATAGAGACAGGGATAGAGACAGAGGCAGAGACAGTTACCGCTCCAGCGGATCCAGCCACGGCAAAGATGGCGACAGAAGCAGATACATGAGGAGAGACTCAGACGAGGGAGGGGAGCAACGAGACCGCTCGCAGTCAAACCGGAAGCCGGTCGGCCGCATGCGCGGATGGGGCGACACCGACAGCAGCAGCAGCAGCAGCAGCAGCAGCAGCGGTAGCAGCAGCAGTAGTAGTGGTGCAAGCGGTCGCAGTGGCCGTGTTTCAGAAAGGGAAAGGGAGACCAGAGAAGACAGCCGCCGCATCAGCAGCAGCAACCGGTCGCGCTCGAGAGACAGAAATTCAGAGGGAAGGGCCGCCAGCCGAAGCAATGCAAAGCAACGCAGCAGAAGCAGCAGCAGGCATCGTGAGGATATCAACAGCAGCAGCAGGCATCGTGAAGGTAGCAGCAGCAGCAGACACCGCGAAGATGACCGAAACCGGCCTTCCTCCCGCACCGACAGCCGGCGACCCGACAGCACAAAGGCGCGCCATAGCCCTCCCCGGGGCACTGCGAGTAGCAGCAGCAGCTCGAGAAGCAGCAGCAGCTCCAGCAGCAGCAGCAGCAGCGGCGGCAGCAGCAGCAGCAGCAGCAAGAGCAGCCAAGTCCGGCGCAGCGAGAAGGAGGAGTCGCGGCGTAGGGACTCTCCTGCTGCGAGTCGCCAAAGTGACAGTGGGGCCTCCCGCAAGGACCGTCCTGCGGATGAACCACCTGCTAAGCGGCAGCAGCAGCAGCAGCAGCAGCAGCAGCCGACGGAACGGAAGGATTCTGCTTCTTCTGAGGCCGTAAATGGGGTGGTACCGGCGAAACGCAGCCTTTCACCTTCGCAGAGCAGCAGCAGCAGCAACAGCAGCAGCAGC